ATCTAGTATTACTCCTAGGAATTTAACCTCTTTTTGGTACATGATGTTGGTTCCATCTAGCCTTATCGCTTTTAGACTATCAAGTTTGTATTTCCTTGAGAATGGTACTATAGTGGTTTTTGCTGGATTTACATTCAGCCCCACTTTGGCACACCATTTTTTGGTTACGTTCAGCCCTAGCTGGATTCTATCACACAGGGTGTTTTCGAATTTCCCCCTGCATAATATTACAATGTCGTCGGCATACCCCTGGCAGGTTAGTCCAGTATCTGTTAGCTCTTGGAGCAGTCCGTCGACGACTATATTCCATAATAATGGAGATAACACTCCACCCTGTGGACAGCCCCTTGTTGTTCCGGCAACAACTGTATTATTCGTACAGGTTTGTATTTCTACCCTTCTGGTGCGGAGCATGCAATTAATCCAGGCTACGAGGGTATTGTTTACCCCCCTGCTAATCAAAGCACTGTTTATTGCAGCATGTGAGGTGTTGTCAAACGCCCCCTCGATGTCCAGAAAAGCGCATATAGCAGTCTCCTTATTTTCTAAGCTATCTTGAAGTGCGCATGTCAGCGCGTATAGGGCGGTCAAAAACTACTCTGGAACGCACACGTAGAAGAAACTGCGAAGAAAGCTGTAAGATCATTTATGACGTGTAGGTCCATGGCAGGTAAGAGTTGGGGCTGCACACCAAAGATACTGAGATGGATCTATACGACAATAGTACGACCCATGGTAACCTATGGAGCCATCGTTTGGGCCGATAGAACTTCAAAACTTGGAGCAATCAAAGTGCTCTCCAAGATACAAATGCTGGCATGCGTATGCATAACGGGAGCCATGAGAACCTGTCCAACCTCATCCTTGGAGGTTCTTTTAGATCTTACCCCTCTTCATATTTACATACAGACTCAGGCGAAAAGAGCTTTACTACGGATGACTGGTACCAATATCGGGGCAGCAGGGTGTCTTGGTCGTGGGAAGTTAGATATTCTTACGAATAAGTTCCCTGAAATTGCAATACCGAATACTCTTGGTCTGACCAATCGGGTTTGGGTTCTCTGGATTCCGGGACATATTGGTATTAAAGGAAACGAGATTGCCGATAAACTAGCGAAGAAAGGTGCATCAACCCCTTTCACCGGTCCAGAACCTTTCTGCGGCCTGGGAAAAGGGGCACTCTCTAAACTAGTTCGGCTAGAGGAAGAAGCTCAGAGGAATCACTACTGGGATAACCTACCAGGTCTAGAGCAGTCCAAAGCACTTTTAGGAACATATAACCTAAAACGCTTCAAGCAATGTATGAGCTTATCAAAGAATAACTTAAGAATTGTTACAGGAATCCTGACAGGACACTGCAGGCTGAACTATCACCTGACTACTGGGAATTTACTCGCATGAGCGATGCAGATTTTGCAGGATGGAAAACGAGACTGCACAGCACATCTTAGAAGAATGTCCTGCACTGATGCATAAACGCAAAAGACACCTGGGTGAACATCTGATAACCAAAGGCGAAGTGAAATCCGTAGACTTAGGTTCTATACTAAAGTTTCTCTCGGATACTGGATTAATAGACACACTATAATCCATGAAGGGGATAGAAGATAGAATGTTAGAGGCTGTGCACTGCGACCTTAGGTCTATTGTGCAGGGGGTACAATAGATCTTAAGGTCGCAGTGCTCTATCACCAACAATAATAATAATAATAAGAAATTTTTTCTAAGTAAAAGTGTCGAATATACAAAATTGATCAAACGAAATTAAAAGTTTTCGAATGTTGATAACATTTTCATACTTCGTCGTTTTTGAAAATTTTAAAAATTTTCGTAGTTCTTGAAGATTCAAAAAATTTTTGGACGTTGATGTTTTCAAAATTTTCAAATAATTTAAAATTCTCAAACTTTGTTATATGAATACAAAATTTTGGAAAAGTTCAGAAAAGTGGAACAATTTTTTTACACACAAGTACATGAACATAAGAATTTTTCGACAATTTGTGATGTTTCACATTTTTATATTCTAGGATGGATTTTAGACTAAATAAAATTCTCAAAATTTTGGAAAATATAAAAATTTCTAAAATCTCAAAAATTTTGTACATTTCAAAATATTCTCATTTTACCAAAATTTCTAGAATCTCCCGGATTTCGATAATTTTTGAAATTTTGGAAATTATCCTAAAAATAAGAAATTTAATAATATTATAAAATTCAAAATTTTGGAACTTTCGTGGTTTTCTGAACCTGTGAAAATATTCAAACTAAGTATGTACATAATTGAAAAAAATTTTGAAAATTCCCTAGGCCTACTTAAATAACATAATACTTCGAGCTTAGCACACAGCTAAAATTTCAAACTCAAGTGAAATTTGACATACTTTTTCCATGAATTAAAATTTTCAAAAGCATTCATTCATTAGGTTTGTTCCCCAAGCTTCTCGAAGTCATTTCGAGTTACATATACGCGCTCGGCAAGTAAGTTTTCGAGTTTCTTTGATATACTCTCACAGTTTGAACTTTGCCCGAGTTTTTCTACAAGTAGCTTGTGGGATTCTTGTAATGACATTTCCCCAATTTCCCCTACCTGGGTCCGCCACTGTAACAGATGGTTACCATTGGCCACAGTGCCTATTCACTACTTTTTGGTCCAATAAAAACTATTTTTTTATAAATACATGCAAGCATACCGGTCTCTCATTGAGTTGATCTCGTTGGGTCTGAGCAGATGTATTCGATCCTTTATTTCCTACCTAAACACTAATTAAAATATATTTCGCCAGTAGTTGGACACACTATAGATTTGCATGCATACATACATACACCTGTGGGGCTATTCTCAAACAAGTTAGCGACAAATATCGCTATCTCAACAAGGGATGAACAAGTAGGTACAATTGTACCTTTTTCCGACGTTGGATGACTTAAAGGTACATTGGGTACAGTCAGTAGATTTTAGGTACAATTATTATTATTGACCCATTTCGCTTTTTGATTTTTGGAAATATATTTGAAATGCTTTCGAAGTTACTTACGGCAATTTGATTATTTTCTCTATACTTGTTGCATCTATTAAAAGGGATCGGATAAATTAGCAGACTTTTCGTGTTGTTGCTGGATAAAGAAGTATACTTCGCAAAGCGTGTTTTTTGTCTTTTTCGACAATATTTTCCAGTAGTCAAAATTAGACAAAAAAACGCTTCTCCGATTCCCATTAGACTACAGTCTATAGATATAGGCTCAGTTCAAAAAAAAACCTAATCATGTTTAAGTCCTTTCCTTTGTTCCATCCTTTGTATTCATGTTTTAAATAAAATTTATAGAAAAACTACAAATTAATGATGTAACTTTTTTTAGGTACAATCTGTCTCATTTATGTACATTTATTTTATGATATTAGGTACAATCTGAAATTTCCATTTTTCATCCCTGATCTCAACCTTACACCATTCATAACATACGGCCACTTGCGATAGCGATCCGAAAATTATCGCTAACCCGTTTTAGAATAGCCCCACTGGTCAGAAGAAAGGGGAGAAAAGCACATACTTTTCTTTAAGCCACCACACGTTCAACCGATATACATGCATATGTATGTATGTAAAAGTTTTAAAATGAAAATGTAATAGGAACACGTTTGAAAACACTAATGTATGTACATGCATGTGAATGTGCTCGCACTATTTGAATTTTGTGCGCTTGACCCACTATAAAATATGATGCAACGATTGGAAAACTTCAGTTATTTGAGACTCCTAGGCTAGGTTGGATGGGGATTACAGACTGTAGCATAGGGTAAAATAAAACCAATTTGAACAAAAGTTGTTGTGCCTGCTTTTGTGTGTTATGCTGTAGCACCGACGTGAAAATTACATCTGAAAAAGTGTAAACAAGTGAAAGCGAGTCGTTGCGTTAGCCCGGAAGTGTTTTCGCACAGCCGCCGCGTAACGAGCGAACAAAAGAAAACCGGCTATAAGTTGCGCAATGTTTTATACCGTTATATTTTTTACCGTTTTAGTTTTACTTTTTCTCTTTTGGGACGTTAAAAAGCCTCCGAAATTTCCACCAGGACCAAAATGGTATCCAATTGTCGGTTGTGCTCTGCAGATATCCGAATTGCGTTTGAAATGCGGCATGTTTTGCAAAGCGGTTGACGAATTGGCTAAGTACTACATAAATCCATACGGGTTATACGGACTTAAGATCGGCAAGGATAAGGTTGTGATCGCGTATTACAGCGACACCATAAACGAAATGATGACGAACGAAGATCTCGATGGCAAACCAGATGGTATTTTCTATAGAATGCGAACATTTAATTCGAAAAAGGGCATTTTGGTCACCGACGAAGATCTGTGGGTGGATCAACGTCGTTTTATATTGCGGCATCTCAAGGATTTCGGCTTTTCCCGTGCAGGCATGGTGAGCATTATTCAACACGAAGCTTCCTTTCTGTTGGAAGATTTGAAGCAGCTTGTCGCCGAGCAGGGCGGTAAACGCGCCGAAGTATCAATGCACGATTTGTTTAAGGTAAACGTCTTGAACACCTTATGGTCCATGATGGCAAGCAAGCGGTACGATCGTAAAAGCGAAGAGATCACCGATCTACTCAATATGTTTTTTGAACTGTTTCAAAATGTGGACATGGTAGGCGCGCTATTCAGCCATTTTCCTCTCATTAGGTTTATTGCACCTAACTACTCGGGCTACAACGCATTTGTTGAGAATCATCACCGAATTTACGCCTTTCTACGTAAGGAAGTAAACAACCATCGCCTAACATACAAAAACTACGATATGCCACGTGATCTAATGGATAGTTATTTGCGTGAACTGGACAACCCAAGCCGTGGTGAGTTTTTCAGTGAAGAACAATTATTGGCCGTCTGTTTGGACATGTTTCTGGCTGGTTCGGAAACCACCAACAAGAGCTTGGGATTCGCTTTTCTACATATGGTGCGTAATCCAGAGATACAGGATAAGGCTTACAACGAAATACAAGAAATAATTGGCGTGCATCGTTTACCGGAGTGGAATGATCGCGCTAAGTTACCATACTGCGAAGCCATTGTTTTAGAAGCAGTACGAATGTTCATGGGCAATACTTTTGGCATACCTCATCGAGCTATACGTGATACACGACTAAGCGGTTTTACAATTCCTAAAGACACTATGGTGATCGCGTGTTTTCGAGGCATGCTTATGAATTCACACGATTTTCCTAATCCAAGCAAATTTGAGCCCGAACGTTATTTGATGGATGGAAAATTGAAAATTCCGGAGGCTTACAATCCCTTTGGTTTCGGGCGACACCGCTGCATGGGCGATATATTGGGGCGACAAAATCTTTTCATGTTCATAACAACCGTGTTGCAGCATTTTCAATTCATGCCAATACCAGGGGAAATGCCCGACGAGGAACCATTGGATGGTGCAACAGCAGCTGTAAAACCTTTCAGAGCGTATATTGTGCCTAGGCATATAGAAAGGAAAGTCTCATAAAATTAAACGCACACAAAAAGAAAGAGCCGGCACTTAGTGCTTTAATAAAAAGTGGGGCAATTGCTTTTATAGAACTATTTAGTACTTAAATAAAACAATTGCAATTGTAATCAAATTGTAGCTGTTTTTATTATAGATAAGAGGAAAGTCAAAATACACATTTTATATGATAACAAGGAATTTTCAGATATTGATGTTAATTTTGAAGTGAAACTTGGGAGTAAATTTCCAAATACAACTGAAATCCACACGGAAATGGTTGGGACGGAAACAAGTGCTACTTAAATATATGCACATGGTATTAACTTAACAAAAACATGCTAATAAAAGGTTAAAAAAATACTTAGATAAAGACCAATACAAGAATGAAAGTAAAGGTGAGTGCATACATACATGAAGAAAAGGATAAGGGCAAAGGTAAAAATAAAAACGATAACAATGATGCGTAAAGATAAAGGCCAAAATGAGGATCAAGGTAAATTTAAACACTTTACTTTAAGAGCAATGATGAAGACAATAATAAACATAAAAGTAAAAGTAGAGATACGTGTATATTAGGAAAAAGATGAGGATGAGGGTACCGATAAAAGTAAAGATTAAAATAGAGGAACAAAGATTTAAATAACGTTAATTATAACGAAAAGGATATAGATAGAGACACAGAGACTCAATCGGGGCACTATACAGGGATTTTAGAGATCTTCGGGACTAAGTCAGGATTTTCAGGACTATTCTGGGATTCTTGGAACTAAATCAGGATTTCCAAGCAGGGACGTGAACCGGATGAAATATTTGGTCGGTTCGGTTCAGCGGTTCGAACCGTTTTTGAACTTTTGAATTGGTTCGTCAACACGGTTTTTTGGTCTTTGAACCAAGGTTTCGGTTCGGTTCAATGGTTCGAAAAAAAATTACGCGCAAGTTCAACAGGTCTATTTTGCACGTTATCGAAGATTTTGTAACCGGAAAATTTTATTACCAAAAAATGTTACCAGTTCTTGAAACCGCGATTCTAGGTACGTTGGTAATGCAGTTAAAATATTCAGCAATTCAGCTATGAAGAATTGTGGAAATTCTTGCAGTGCATATTTCACGGGGTAATATTTTGTTACCAGCTTATGAGATGGTAACAAAATCTATCGGTTACAAGAGTACACAGAATGCGAAAAGGGTTTAAAAATTAAAGGAACTTTATTTACCGGTTACAAAATTTTTATTACCAGCGCAGAATAGACATGTACTTACAATCAAGTGTCAAATGCAACAACGCGCAAGGATAAGTGTCAAGTGTCTGTCAAATAAGATGGGTTGCCAAGGCGTATTTAACAAGGTGGTGTTAGCCGTATATAAGTAAAAAATTACACTAACAAATTGTACGCAGATATCCACACTGTCATTGGTATGAGTTACAACAAACACATCATTTTGACGTAATGCCCTCCACGGCGAAAAAACTCAGCTGTCGCCCCAAGACCACCTTGTTAAATACACCTTGTGGTTTGCCTTTACATTTGATATTGCCACATGGTTTCCACTGACGAAAAAAATACTTACCATCCACACGAAAAAAATCTACCAAATCTGGAAAATATCTACCAATAACTTTTTTATAGTTATTTTAATAAAAACTATTGTTTTGTTATATTTTTTAGTTATTTTAATTAAAACTATTGTTTATTTATTTTCTTAGTTATTTCAATAAGAATTAAAATTGTTTTCAAGGAACTTTTTATTCAACTATTTATACGGTATTTGAGATCATATTAATGGCATATTCTCAGTTTCCTTCAACCAAGAGCGAAAGTGATGAAGCTGAAGGCAACAACGACAAACACAGTGATTCAAAAAAGCAATTGGTGATTTTTTTTTTAATATTCGCAATGTTTTTCAAGTAAAAATGGTTTGTTTCTTTAACTAAATCCATAAAAATCAAGGATTCAAACTACATATATATAACATTTAGAAAAATTCAACAAATTTTCGTCTAAATTTTGAGTTTTTTACTCTGAATTTTTAGAGCAATTTATGGTATGGAGTTTTATAGCAAATAATATTTGAGTATAGTCAACAATGTGCTGCTAAAAATTCCCATTGATTTTTTTTTAATTTTTTTGCCGCCATTTGTGGCTTTTTATACCCGAGCGCACTTGTGCACAAGGTTATTATAGCTTTCCTCACATAACGGTTGTTTGTAACAGGCAAAACGAATCGAGATAGATATAGACAAATGTATACATAAATGATCAGAATGAAAAGAGAAATCGATTAAGCGGTGACTGTCTGTCCGTCCGTCCGTCCGTCCGTCTGTCCGTCCGTCTGTGCACACGATAACTCGAGTAAAAATTGAGATAAATATCTTAACGAAACTTTGTACGTGCACCTCTTTCGGGTGTAGGGCGGATGGTATTGAAAATGTTCAAAATCGGACAACAACCACGCCTACCTCCCATATAACGGTAATTTTCAGAAATACGGAAACTGCGATACTTCAGTAACTGCTGAAGATTATTTACTCAAAATTGATATTTGCAATAAGTTTTAGACGAAAAATAAGAATATTATAAATGTTTGGAAAATGGGCGTAGCCACGCCCACTTATGGTTACAAGTGTATATCTTGGTAAAAGCTGCACCAATTTCTTCCAAACTTGGCACTTGTTAGCCTTGCTAACGGTCGAAAATTTTTAAAATCGGACAATAACCACGCCCACATCCATATAACGGTAATTTTGAGAAATACGAAATCTTCGATAAATCAGTAAATATTAAAGCTAATTTATTCAAAATTGATGTTTGCAACAATTCTTTACCAATACGTTTATAATAAAATTTTGGAAAATGGGCATGGCACCGCCCATTTATGATCCCATATGTATCTCGGTAACCGTTCTACGAATTTGTACCAAACTCGGTATGGTTATGGTGTNATAAAGCTAATTTATTCAAAATTGATGTTTGCAACAATTCTTTACCAATACGTTTATAATAAAATTTTGGAAAATGGGCATGGCACCGCCCATTTATGATCCCATATGTATCTCGGTAACCGTTCTACGAATTTGTACCAAACTCGGTATGGTTATGGTGTTTGCCGCATAAAAGCAAAACGTTGAAAATTATTGAAATCGGACTAAAATTGAGAGCGCTTCTCATATAACGGTTAGTTTCAGATATGCTTGAAACTTCAATATTTCGAAATTTAAGGACGCTAATTTACTCAGAATTGATATACCCCGGCTTACCATGTAGCGGTAGCTTTCGGAAAGGTGAAAATCATATATTTAATACTTGCGCCTGGTATTTAATGTTCGGCTCCGCCCAAACTTAGACTTTCTTACTTGTTTTATTTAACAATTTCCATCTTTTTTCCGAACAATCATAGTGCGTTTTCACACACCAANTGCACCTCTTTCGGGTGTAGGGCGGATGGTATTGAAAATGTTCAAAATCGGACAACAACCACGCCTACCTCCCATATAACGGTAATTTTCAGAAATACGGAAACTGCGATACTTCAGTAACTGCTGAAGATTATTTACTCAAAATTGATATTTGCAATAAGTTTTAGACGAAAAATAAGAATATTATAAATGTTTGGAAAATGGGCGTAGCCACGCCCACTTATGGTTACAAGTGTATATCTTGGTAAAAGCTGCACCAATTTCTTCCAAACTTGGCACTTGTTAGCCTTGCTAACGGTCGAAAATTTTTAAAATCGGACAATAACCACGCCCACATCCATATAACGGTAATTTTGAGAAATACGAAATCTTCGATAAATCAGTAAATATTAAAGCTAATTTATTCAAAATTGATGTTTGCAACAATTCTTTACCAATACGTTTATAATAAAATTTTGGAAAATGGGCATGGCACCGCCCATTTATGATCCCATATGTATCTCGGTAACCGTTCTACGAATTTGTACCAAACTCGGTATGGTTATGGTGTTTGCCGCATAAAAGCAAAACGTTGAAAATTATTGAAATCGGACTAAAATTGAGAGCGCTTCTCATATAACGGTTAGTTTCAGATATGCTTGAAACTTCAATATTTCGAAATTTAAGGACGCTAATTTACTCAGAATTGATACACCCCGGCGTACCATGTAGCGGTAGCTTTCGGAAAGGTGAAAATCATATATTTAATACTTGCGCCTGGTATTTAATGTTCGGCTCCGCCCAAACTTAGACTTTCTTACTTGTTTTATTTAACAATTTCCATCTTTTTTCCGAACAATCATAGTGCGTTTTCACACACCAATCAATTTTTTCTTTTTATTTAAATAATCATTTAAAATATTTAGGCAATCAAAAGCTCTCTGGGTTCCAGTAAAATTAGTTTTGAAAGGAGAACGATATGTTCGAGTTTTATCGATATACATACATTTATACGTATGTATGTATATAAAAAGTGTGCAAAGAAATTTATAATGTAAAGATAACTACGAAAAATAAAGCGGCAACGAAAAGTTCAACAAAAACTACCAAAATGGGAAAAACTCACCTTTTCACTAACCCAAATTTTTTCTACCAATTTTGGTAACAATTTACCAAAATGGGAATCCTGTATGTATTACCATATTTTACAAAAAGAAAAAACGGGTAAATTTATCTATTAAAAATTGGTCGAAACGAACCTTTAAACCTTTATGAAAAAGGGTTCGATTTCGGTTCGGAAAATTTTTGGAAAATTTCGGTTCGGTTAATGGTTCAGTTAAATAATAGAAAAAAATCGGTCTTCCGGTTCAAAACCGATTCACGTTTCCAAGACTATTTCGGTATTCTCGGGACTGTATCAGGGTTTTCAAGACTACTTCGGAATTTGCGCTATAATTATCGATCTTGTTATCGGCATAATAATTAATTTTGTTATCGATTTTTATTGAAACTTTTTATAGATTTATTATCGGCATTTTTGTCGTTTTTGTTATCCGTTTTTTATCAAATATGTTATCAATATTTTCATCGACTTTGTTATCGATATTTTACTGTTGTTATTATC